ATAGAATGTCGTATGTTGAAAGAGAATTATTGCACCTGTTTAAGTTTTAATTAAACTACTTGTTTCACGCATAATGAAAAAGTATGTTCTTTTTCACAATATCACAAACGTTAAACTTATATGCTTTGTTAATAGCAAATCACAAAATAAATTGTTTAACCATAACGTCCCGTATGTGTTACATTCCTACAAAAGAATGAACTTCGAGAACAACATTTTTTGTAATTAATTAAACCAGATATTAACGACAATGAAGACAATTTACTTTTGCATTTAAGTATATAAACTCAATCTCTTTATGGTTAATTATCTTTTCTTTTTATAAATGTAGCCAGAATACTAATAGCACTCTTATTACTTTAAGAATATTATAGCGCTAATATATTAATATAATTATTAAACTTTGCGCAGCATTACTTATATATATATATATATGAAAAATTTTAATAAATTACAAGTTTATTATTTATTTCGTGTATACAATATACACGGAAATTTTAAGAAGTCCTGGTTAGAATGTGACGCAAATAACTATGTTTCAAATAAATTGCATCACGTGCATGATGTTACAATAAAATCCAAATACAGGTAAAACAAAACATGAAATCCAAAGTTAAGAAGTCAGCCTCACCCACCACACCCTATCCATTTCTTATATTCCTCTCTGTCTCAACATTGTAGTGTAAAAGCGACGCGCAAGAGTAGTACTATATAAAAAAGGAAGAAAAACGATGAGAAGCGGAAAGAAGAGAAAGCCGGCTGTTTATCCCCCAGGATTACAAGTCGAGACTCTGCATCCATATTCTGTAATTTGCTCTATTCCCGAGAAGAAGAGGAAGAACGAGAAGGGGAAGCAGACGAGACCTTTTCCCCCTTCCTCTTGCTACTCTCAAGGAATAAAGATCCTTTGCCCCACCTCTCTCGTCTACTGCAGCAAACTTCGGCATCCTCATCCTTCGTGTCGTGGGCCACGCTTCCCAACTACAATTCCTTTTATACACACGTACGGCAACGCCGACGCCTCCTCTTTTATTTATCTCACAGCGTTTCGCTCTCCTTCTCTCACTTCGCGGTCCTTCTCATTTAAACATATATATATATATATATATATATATATGTATGTATGTATGTATGTATGTATGTATGTATGTATATATATACTGTAAGCAGGGGGAGCCACAGTCTCTTAAACATTCGACTTTTTTCATTCGTTCGCAACTTCTCTCTTCCAACGCCAGGGCGCTAGCGCAAAGTCAGCCTCCTTGAATTATTCCGTTAAGTTCCATGAACGCGAGCTCTTGCGCCTTTTACACCCAAGCGCCTGCTGGTACGAACAGCCGGAGGAGACTAAGAGCACGAAAGGGGAATACGGAAGAGGAAAAGGAGAAAAATAAAAAAGGGGGTGGTGGGAAGGAGGATGGATACACTAAGGGAAGGGGAAGAGGGGATACGAGGAGAAAGAGTAGTGGAATGGCGGCAAGAGAATTAAGAACTCGTGCACGACCCTTCGCTTCTTTTCCTGAAATGCGTTACGTGTCAATTCTTCTAGTTTCCGCCCCTTTTCCATCGATTAACATTGCCTTGTACATTCTAATGCAATTTTTTAACGAACATGTTTGTGAAAAGTAAATTTATATCCTTTCCAGAACTACTTTCATTTTCCAAAGAAACACGAACGTTCAAACTAATTGGTATTTTTACGAAGTTGAAAACCTATTGGAATAAAATAGAAACATTCGTGTTTTGTCAAAAACTTTACAATTCTGAGTTAAGTGAAAAGTTAAAAGATAATTGATTGCCAGCTTAAATATGGAGAGACTCCATTGTAATAAGAAAAAAAAATTCATATAACAACTTATCGTCATTGTCACCACTAATGGGAAACTAAAGACGTCGATTTATTCACGAATTCTTAATTCTACCTCGCAACTATTTAAAAAAGAAAATACTATTTCAATTTCAAATGACGAATGTTTGTCAGTTACTCAATAGTAACTCGTTTAAAGTTCAGTAGTTCAAAATAAAACATAACAGTCTTTCAAATTTTAATAAATTCCTTCCTGTGCATTTCACTCAACGGATTCGCCTCGTTTTCGCTCTTGTTTCCGCAGCCCCGTATATCTCCATGTTTGATTTACATACGACTCGTGCGAACACCACACGGCCGCAGTACCGATCGACCACATATAATACACCGCATGGTTGGGCTCACGTCCCGATGCGGCGAGAAATTCAAATCGCCCGCGCGATCCCAGAATAATAAATATGTATAGCGCGAAAATTCCCAGGCCTACTTTTTCTCGCCTCTGACTTGAGTGCGCTCGCAACGTTCGTCTCATTTTTTATCGTTACAAATCTAAAGGAGTGCACAGTCACACTTAAGCGCTGCAGATGAACATGATTAAGTTAAGTAAATATCTTTAAGGGGCTGAGTAGCACCTTGTAAGCAGATTTTACTCCCGGCTTTTATTTCCCATTATTTGCCTTGTAATCGCAATTAACTCCCGAGTATTTTTAATTTATCGATCCAGTGCCTATCTCGTGTGCGTATTCGTATTCAAAGCATACGTTGTTCAGTCTGAGAATGATCGCTTGCTTCACAACAAGACACACCGAGCACATGTTCGAGAGTCGAGCGAGACTTCACTAGTGGCTTACCTTTTGATTTTCAAGAGGTAGTTTTCTTTACTTGTGCGGCCCGTGTCGTAACCCGTGTATCAACAAGAGCAAGGGCGTAAAAATATTAACTATTTAGTCTTCACGAATCCCGACGTGTTTGCTCAATAAAGCGAGAACCACTCGGTGCAACGAGCAACAAAGGGCCTGAGAGGATGAAAAGTTGTATAAAGAATGGCGCACGTGATCCGTCGTAAATCGCAAATCCTGTCTGCAGCCAAGATCGAAGCGCAAAAGAGAGAAACGCCGCCAATTTAAGTAGCTGCGCGAGATCACGAAGACGCATTAATCGATTTATCCTCGCGCCATGACCCCGTCATAAAATGGCGACCCGAGTTATGCTCTGTCCATGTAATACAGCTTACTTTTATATTAAAAAAAGTTTGCTCTTATTATTTCAGATATTCAGGATATAATCGGTTATTTAGCTTTTCTTATCTAATAAAATTGGTCGCAGCGCAATTCAAAACGAAGTAGGAGCATATAAATAGTTACATTCCTTAACTATAAATGAATTCTTGGAGAAATAAATTCAACTATTTATAATTGTCGATGTCATTGATTTATTAAATTGAAAGTAAGCTCGACTGTTACAAACCTTTTTAAGAATTATTAAAGGAATGTCTTGTTGAATTATGTAAATGACTCGATAATATTTAAAAATTTTATAACTCTGTGCTGAAGTTGTTCATCGTGAATCATACATATTCAATTTACTTTTCAATTGTTAATTAAATAAGTAGAAAATAAATTTCATGCCTCGTCTTTTAATAAGTTATGTATCTGTAAGTTCTTTATTTATTTATTTATTTTTTGTGCAACAAATATAAAAATGTTAGAATATAAAAATTATCCGACAAATAGAAGAGCATCTAAGAATACTTAATTACAATTTTAAAACTCTTTAGAAACACAAATCTTATTTTTTAAATTTAACGATCTTGAAAAAAAGTTTTAAATAACAATAATAGAATCGGATCATTCTCATTTCTTAAACTATCCGAGGAAACTGCTCAGCAACTGTGAAATACAAGCAAATATCTCGAATAATATCAATGATTTTGTTTTATCGCCATACAATACTTCATTACCAAAGACAGTTTTACAATAACATAACATTCCTAATCGGCTCAGCAAATAATAAAAAAAAATCGCTTCGCAATGCAAGATAAGAAGAATAATTGTTACCAAGAACTTTTCGTTTCAATTATTTTGATGAAATAATTATAGTAGCGCGACTTTCATTAAAAGTGCTTCACCGCTGAAAAACTCTTTCAATTAATGCTATTATTATTCGCCGAGTAAACTTTCGCTTACAATCCGCGTCCAGCGACCATCCATATTCCGTCAGTTGGCAAATTAAATTTTGCTCGCCCCTGGCCTAACTTTTCTTTTCTCCGGCGAGCGATTGACGGGTTGCCTCCCCCCCCCCCCTGCCCTCAAGCTGTAACAATGAAATTCTTCCGAATTAAAAGCTCGTAGCGCCATTTGCATGTTATTACCTTGTTTACATATTTATTCAAGAAGCCCAGGGTCGGGCGCTTATTTCCTCGACAGAAGAGAAGAAGGGAGGAGCGTGCTACACGCGCGCCAAAATCACCCCCTAATCCGCACCAAACTTCCTCACCGGGCTTTGGCCCTTTAATATTAGATTAGGCCCCTGTTATATATACAGGGTGAAAGGAAAGTTATACTGGGATAGATAGCAGCCGCAGTCCGGTATTTTCCATTTTACCAAGGAGTAACGCCGAACGCTTGTCCGCACTTGAGATACGCATTGCCGATTTTTCGTTGAACTTGCATTGACCCATTGATTTTTATTAATATCTGTAGCCGTTATACAATATTATGTGAGCTCTTGATGGATTTTTGAAAGCTCGTTTAACTCGTGTATTGATAGTGCAACACATGTATAACAGTGTCTATCGTACTCGTACATTTACATAGTTTTGGCATAATATTGATGTACGATACTTTCTTATATCTCAAAATCATTATTATGCAAAAGAAGAGCCAATTTGTTACATTCGATGATTTAATGGAACTAACAATAATCGGAAATTTAATGGCCATTTCATGACAATATATTTAAATTGGTTTTTGAAAATGATGTCGTCACTGCGTGAAATATTGTTTTCATTGATTGTCCAGCGATATTAAATAGAGATTAAAAAAGAATTTAGTTGATTACAAAAGAAATTTAAAACTGTACTAAAAATGTTTTTTTTTTTATGGATTAATAAATAATTGTGGATCAATTTATGAAATTAATGTTAGCAAAAAAAGTGTTGACGACTAAGGGACGTATTTTTCTCTTCTCTTACCTGCTTGTGCATCTCAACATTCAGGCCATAAGACATCTCGTAATACTGAAAAATAATAAAGACAATGCAATTAGAAATATCGCCGAGAAAGCCGTAAAATATAATTATCATACAATAGAGAGAAATGCTATATAAATAAAGCGTGCTTAAATATTTATCGTGCAAAGCTCGTACAAAAAATATCCTACATCAGTATTTATCTAGTTCTCACGTAGTACTTGATATAAAAAAAATATCTAAAACATCTTTTAAAACACAAGTTAACAATTAAGCTAACACAGTACTTACATTATTTATTCAAAATTTGCTTAAAAATAAAGCCGTGCTATTAATGCATTATATTATTCCTCATTGCAGTTCTAACCATCAATAAAAGATATCGCTGCATAGAGTGCGCGAAACTGTAGAACAAGCATTCTTTTTACAACTTGAAAAACAATATGTAATATAACACCTCTTGATAATTCTCTTTAATGAGTCAACATTTCAATCGTTCATACTCATCGGTAAGACAGCTCATTTTTCTTACCTTAACATAAATATTAAGTTAGGATGTAAACCCATGATTTTCTTTACTCAACTCACTACGGAATCGCACAGTTGCGACGTCGACTTGTGACAATTGAAAATATTCACTTGGCGGATTAAGCGGCATACGAGAAAAACAATTTGTTATCATTATATGTGTGCAGTAGACGACGAATCTGGTGTTGCGCACGTGAAAAGTAGAGGGGAGATAATCGAAATTCAATATCTGTACGCGCCGGATATCGCACCGAAGGCTCGTATTGTAAAAGGTAGCGCGTAGCGGGTCATTGAACCGATACTCGGTTTTCATCGACTCGACGACTTCCGACTCTCATTTTATTTTTTCTGTTCGCGATGAAAGAGATTTAGTTAAATCCCTTTCAAAATTCAAATACCAATGTCGATGTGCACGAAACGCGTGGGAAGCACTCCTAAAGCGACTGCACCCGCTTTCTCCCGAAGGTGGAGATTACTTCAAGTGGCTTTCTTCATACGCGTGACGAAAAGCCTGTCTTTTACGAAATCAGCTTTCATAAAAGTTTTTAATACAAATATACAGTTGAATTGTCAAATGCAATAAATACTAACGAAAGTAATCATTAGATGGAGGAGATCATTTTATAAAATGATATACTGCTATCTTGTAATACATCATTGCAATCACATTAATGGCAATATCCTACTTTGCTACAGATTTCCCGATGATAAAGAAAGACCAAACTCTCGAATAGCACAAAATAATATCGAAAAGTGCCAATCGGTGACCAATCACTCCAAGCCGAATCGCTCGTAATCATTGACGGTAATCTAAATCCGTCTTAAGGCAAGTTCGTGGTCTCTTAGCACGACGAACTGGAATTGGGGCCCGCGTTTCCACGTAGGAGGAGCGAGAGGTAAGTAAAGAAAGACAAGTAAAGGAAAAGCGCGTGACAATGATGGCGCGAGCATGAAAGCTCCGATAGTGAATTGTGCAGATAGTGAATTGCAGTGGATTTTAACGGTTTCCCGCTACGGATGTTCACGAGCGCGGGTGGGCCAATCATTGGCTATAAAACAACGAGAGTTGTGAACGGCGTTTACTGCTCGAGTGGCTCGTAAAACGCGCATCTCCAACTCTCTCCACCCGTGAATGTCAGTGAGATCGTATATGTGGTTGAAATCCGCGTAATGAAAATTTAAGGCAAAAACGGGAATGCAAAGCGTTGACAAGTTCACGTTTTATTTCGAGTACTTAGATTGGACGTACGGGCAAAGTAACATCGCGGTAAATAATCATCCCTGTCGTCGTCGTTGTCGACGATGTCTTCGTCATATCCTCGCACGTAACCGCGTTATTTTCCTTATTATTCCGATACTGGCAGTCGAGTTATGGGATTTCTAAAATGAGTGCTTGCTAAATACCAGTGGTGGTTATCGAGTGGAATTTTCATGCAATTTTGCAATAAAAACGAAAAGACGACGGAGTAATTCATTCGGCCAGTATTCTTATATTACGTAGTATTTGGGAATGCCTTTACAGGACTATTTTTTACTCTTTTGAAAGGTATATTGAAGAATTTTTATTGAATTTACATCAGAGTATCACGGTACTCACCACATAGATTAACTAGAATTAAGTAACGTCAAGTATAGGTTGTCAGCATAGTCACAATCTACAATTGGATTAAAAATTCTTACCTAAAAATAACTTTATTAAAAATAATCTCAAAGGAAGGATAAATATTAAACTTGCGTACAATTAATATTATTGGCATAATATCTCATTACGAGAAACTATGGACGCTAACCTGGCGACTGTTGGCATGTAAATGGTAGAGAATCAAAACTTTATATGCCTTTCATCGTGATTAAATCGATATCGTTGGTGTGCTAAATTAAATCTTCCAATTTTATCGAGGTATTATTGTGTCCCACGTGTCCCATTCGCCAACGCTATTTAAATCTTGACCGTTTAATGGTAAGTCGTCAATAAGCCGAGTAAATAGAAACGGACGGCTTTACACGAGTGAGGGAATGGCATTACTAACTATTAGCAGATCGTTCAGCTATATTCAGGTCGTTCAGAGAGCAAAAGCATCCGGTACACTGAGAATCGTTGCAAAAGGAAACATCCCCCTTTCTTTCTGTCTCTCTCTCTCTCTCTCTCTCTCAGTTTTTGTTTTTTATTGTTTTATTATCTCAATGTATACGAGCCAAGAACTTTATATATATATATATATCTTATAATTTTGGCGACTACTCTGCTACATTTTACTCAAACTAGTTTATTTCTTGTAAAATTTATTTGAAAAAATAATGATTTTCATCGGCTTTCCATAATAACTTCTTTAACAGTTATTTGAATAAAAATACTGTATAACGAACCTTTTATTTTTACGATAACTATCAAAGGTGATGAGTACGTAAAAAGTAATAAAAATAATATATTGGGATTATTATTACTTTGGGATTCGGTTTCTTTGTTTAAGATAGATCAGGTAAAAATCTGCAAAACCATTAACTATATATTATTGATGTTAAAAAATTGGCTTTAACAAATTGTTTGATTATCAAATACAATCAACAAAAAAATATTTGAACAAAATATCACAATATTTAACTTTAAATATTTAAATTTAAGTAGAATTCCAATAATGTTCATTATTGCTAATTATTTTTATATTTCTATCCCTAGGAAATAAACAAGAAATCATTGATCATAAGAAATTTCGTATTATAATGAATTTGTTTGTTAAATTCTAAAATATAGTTAGAAAGTAGTAATTATCTAGGATTATCGAAAATTCAATTATCGAAAATGCCAATATTAAATATTTACATAATTTCTGTTATTCATTAAACGAGTTTCAAATGTTCTTCAAGTCAGCGATCTTTATTGCGATTTGAAAAGTTGATATACGGCAAAAAGTTGTGAAGAAAATAGAATATACAGAGTTTCAAATGAAGCCACAATACAAGATGCAAAACAAAGAGTTACGGGAACTATTTCAAGAGGAAGGATCGCGGGGAAGGTCGAAGAGTATGAAGTATATCCTTTCTTAGCTTCTCCGCTTCGCTACAGCTTGTTCTTGGGTAATAGGTACTTAATTAATGAACCCCCACCCTTGATGCTTCGAAAAATATAACTTAACCTGGGAATCTCAGTTTTTATTATATTCTACTAATGGAAACGCGATGATGTGCTGATTCTGCTGTCATTGACTATATGCAGCGTACGTAAAGAAAAAGAAAAATTAAATATTAGTATTATGAAAAACAATATTATTAAAAATACATGTTTCCCTAATGTGAATAAGGCTTGTTTAAAGTTTTTCTAACATACAGAAGCAATTTTAATACTTGATAGTTATCACCAACCATTTTGTAATGAATTATCGTCGTTAAATATACACGAAACTTAACGGATAGGGATACATTATTACAATTTATCAAAATTTAATCTTTTAATAAATTTTAATATTGAAACTTTTATTTATAGATAAATGAATGCTCTTATCTAAAAATATAAAATAATAGACTAATAAATTCCCGCTTTGTGTATTTTATTATTAAAAATATTGACCTTTTTTTTTATTATTACCCATGTACGTATGTAATTTATTTTTTGTGCATACGTACGCGCACGTGTGTATACATTTGTTAATTTATTTATTACGATATTTATTTAAATATGATTTACACGATTTGCTAATGATGAGTATTAAAATGACTTGAGGGTCTGCCTTATGATATTCATGAGTATTTGAATACAATGATAAAATCTTACTAAACACAGCTAAACTAAACTAAACTAAGTTAACCTAAAAACAGTGTAAATAAAAGTATTTTGTACCCTATATCGCGATGAAATTCAATAGCCAAAAGTCAAATATTACAAGTCATGTTCTTCATTACTTATAAAAAGTTGAATAATTATTATTGTTCTGTTCTTTTTCTTTTTCATTTGTCAAAATGCAAAGTTATTTAGCGTTAATTTTATGATACTCGGTGATACAAAATCTAACATACCTTCATTTTTCATACCGTATATCACAAACCTTATTCCAAGAAGTTTTCTCAATTACAAACATAAATTTAAGAACGAACAGATTCTATCGAAATAACGCTGTAGTTAGTTTTCGTTGTAAGAAAAAAGAAATCACTCCCAGTATAATTTCATTCTACAGGCAATCAAGCCGAACTGCCCATAGATATCAGAAACCGCAAAACAATTAGCTCATCCAAGATAAACAAACGCATCATCGATCCAAGGCTTCACAAAACAAAAGTCGAACACCCAACTTTTCTGAACCGAAGATCTTCTAAGAAATTTCTCAACAACTTTGGCCGTTGATTCGTGCCCTTAGCTTTCTTAGGGAAGGATATCAACTTTCGCATTGGACGATTCGAGGATGTTCCCTCTTTCGTTTCGCAATAAACAGATCGACGCTTACTGATAGGAATCGTCGATCGAAACCGCGATATAATGAAAGGAAAAGAGAGGAGAGCAAGCGGACAAGTAATCAGAACTGTGAGAC